AAAATTTGAGAGGAGAAGTGCTAGGCAGCTTAGGATGCCTCTTGTTACATCTCAATCTGGAAATGAGACTTGTCCTATTTTTCCTTCCTGCACCTTGTTCTCAGTCTGTAATGAAGAACTGAATATTTTGCCAGGAAAAAAAAAAAAAAAAAGCAGCCTTAATCTGTAGGCCTTTGGCATTGGCCAGTGGACACTTAGTAATTTTAGGTACACTATTCTATATCTTAAAGCAGTGCATCTTCAAGAAACAGATGCACTGCCTCTGTCCTGCCTGCCTTCTGGGGCTAAGAGGCTACAGGGTTGCAGGTCCCTTGACCCCAGCACCAAGGGCTAGTTCTGCTTGGTGCCATGCTTCAGGATGGCATCTCATTCAGCAGATAGCAGAGAGAGATTTTGCAATAGGTATCTTATGATGACTGCCTTAAGTGGTTGGTTGTTTTTTTTGTTGGTTTTTTTTTTTTAGTATTTGATCCAAGTTCTGAGGCTGAAGCCAAGAAATCTTACTCGGGCAAATTTGTCACAATTTCAGTGCCGTTGTAGGGAGGTTGTGAATGTGATACAACTTAGGCAAGCTTTCTTTAAGCAAGTTGCAGATAGGCATTTGTTGAACCACCCCGACCCTTTTTTCATTGATCTGTAACTTGGGTGCTGCCCTGTCTCTAACCTTTCCTGTCTTGATGCAGTTGCTAGAAAGGCTGTCACAGAGCAACTCTATCTTGACACAGCATTCTTGCGTTTCTCCCCCTCTCCCAGGCTAAGTGTGGCAAACAGGCTGTCACTCTCTTGGTGGATTAGCAGCTCCTTGCAGTGACCAAAGAAAGATCAAAACCCTCACAGGTTCTTTGATCTATCAGCTGCTTTAGATCCATTCGATCAAGAAACATCGTTGACCTGTTTGTAAATACTGATTGGCTATAGGCTCAACAGTTCTTTTGGAATTCAGGAGTGAGATTCACCAGGATTATGCTGGTTTGTTGTTGACTCACCTTCTCTCCTGTTGCTTTCTTAGGTCTATATTTGGGGGAGGGCTGATGTGGGCTGTGCAGCTCTATGTGCACAGATAACTCAAGGATCTGCAGCTGCACTTAAACAGATGTACGCATCATCCCTCTGACGTGGATGCTGTCACAGTCACACCTGTCCATGAGATGTTTGATTTGGATTGCAACTTCTCTGAAACCACAGCTGGTAAGGCCCCAGCTCGTGACTCAGCAGCATCAGTTGTGAAGAATGTGGTCTTCACAGCCTTTGCTGCTTCCAAATCCATTTCAAGTGCATGTCACACTCTGTCAGCTACATACAATTTTCTCTGATATTTTTTTCATTTCTGGCTGCTGAGTATCACCAGACCATGACCAATAGGGTAAGTGGAAATCTTGTATTCACTGATGAGTGCTTGGATTTCCATTCCCAAAACAGAGGTGATAGGGGGGATCTGTACCTTTCTTGACAGCTACTTTGGGAAAAATTTGATATCTTGTCTTAAAGTGTTGCTTAAGATAGGTTCATGCTGGACGTTGTATGGAAGCAGCCAAGGTGCAGGCATATGTTCCCTTCTGCTGGTTTGGCTGTGGTGCCTGTAGCCACAGCCAGCAAAGAGGAGCGAGCAACTGGGAACAGTAACATCTTAAACTGCAGCAGAAAGATTGGCCAGACCTCTCATGTCAGCACTTTGATTCCCTTGGTGCTTGTTGAAGAACTAAAAGTTAACTGAGGGTGGTGGCAGAAAATAGGTTTGCCTGCCTTGAAAATGCTAAAGCCAAAACTGAAAAGCAGAGGTGGATCTGAAGGCAGTTATCTCTCTTGGAACTTCTATGGGGATTAAAACGTGCATCATCCCTGTAGCACGTAGGGATTTTATAATCACGGCTGGTATTTTGCTGCAGGGTCCTCTGTGGGGTTAGGAATTAATTTCCCACCTTTTTCTAGAAGCCTGGGTTATGTTGCCAGACATAAAAGAGAATCTGTAGCCAAAGCAGACATTTGCTGGACCTCAGAAGTGAGTAAATTGCTGGGGTTGGGTGAAGGTGTCCACCTCCGCCCCTCCGGAAGTCAAAAAGGGGGGAACAGACACAGAGAGAAATGCCACAAGATTTACGTGGCTGTTCCACTTCCAAGTCAGCAGGGAGAGATACTACAGGGCTTTGCAAAGCATAAGACAAACTGCTGTGCAAAGCAGTGGCTGCAAAATTAAAATACAGAATATTTCATTACCTGCAGTGTGGTTCCTCCTATCTCCCCCCACATCTCTACTTGTTACAGAATGAAATTTCTTTGTTAATGAAAATATACCCCATTCTGAGTAAAAGCCAACATTGCAATATTTTTGGAAGGGGTTAAAGTGGCAACTTTGCACAGCAACCCTCTTTTTCCCCAGCAAATCTGCCAGCATTTTAAAGATATAAATAGGGACATTTGGGGAGAAAAGCAAATTTAAGTTCCTTTGAAATGTGCTTGGCTGAAGGAATAATTTGAAGAGAGGGAGTGGAAAAACAAATGGAAAATATTTTCTTTGACAGGAAGAAAAAAAGAAGTGGCAAAATGTTCTTCCCAAATAGGGATACTTGGCTGGTGTGTACTTTACTCAGCCCTGGGTCAGACCTTACAAACAACGACTAAATTAGGTTCAGTTACTTTGATGTTAAAAGCATGGAAGTGCCAATAATTAAGCTGCATCAGATGTAGGAAATGACTGATGTGTCTGCCATGCTGAGTTAGTCTGATAGCTGAGTTCACTGCACTGCCATTTGACTGACCCCTTTTTCTGCATGTAAGCAAAGGAAATTTTCTTCCAAGGAAAATCAGTTGGTTTTGCACCTTTGTTTTGTTCTCTAAACTGCTAATCCCCTGAAGGTATAGAACTATTTCAAAAAGCAAATCAAAGCTCACATAATTCAGTGTTACATTATTTGTTGATGTATGGTTTGATTTAGTGGCTACTTATTATATCAGGTTACCATATAATTATCTTAATTATTGACTCCAGAAGTAAGTAGAGGGATTATGAGAGAGGCAAGAAGGCCCAGTGGATAGCGCATGGCTCAGGGAATCAAACACATCGTGGTGTGGTCTTGGATTCACCGCTCACTCAGTCTACCTGGACTTATTTCTCAGCCATGAGATAGGCAGAGAGAGCAGGGATGGGGCTGAAATGGGGAATCAGGATTTGGAGAGATACAGGAGAGCAGAAAAAGCGGAGGGGAGAAGAGAATGAATACACACCTCAGCATGCTTTTGCATTAAAGCCCATGGTGTCTGTGATGCCATGGAGAACGACAGTGTGGCCATGAAGGCCTGAACACTGAGTCTGATTGTGCTTCATCTCCAGCCTCTGCTACTCATTTCCTGTGTGAGCATGGGCATTGCTGGCAGCCCCTGAACTTCATGTCCCCTTCTGCAAAACAAGAATGATAAAATCACCTTCCTGCCTTTGCTCTTACTGGAGTGCAGCTCCTAGCCCAGCCTGCAGCCATGGTTCTCATGACATGGCTGCTATTTGTGTGTTTGAGTCTCTTTGTGTGATAACCATTGACTTAAGTCGAAGGTTTGAGTTAATAGGCACTGCTGCAACGTGAAAAACAGCATTGAAAAACTGTCAGGGCAGTCTGTAGTTCCTGTATTGATAATATTTGGCATATACTGACGAAATACTTCAATGTATTGACAAGATGAGTGGCATCTTCTTTTCCCTGTGAGAAGAGCAGACACTCTGGTTCTGCTCAGCATGTGCAAATTTTTTTTCTCTGTTTTTGCTTTTGCTCTCCTGAGCCGAAAAAAATGGGGATAATAGATTGTATCTATTTCTTTCCTAGAAAAGATCAGTTAATGTGAAATGGTGCATGGTGGCTTAGTTCTGAATAAGAAGGATACCCTAATCCAGCAAGGTATCCTTGCTCTATTGTACGCCTTTTCTGCATACCATCTGGAGTTGCTCTCTGCTTAGTATTTGCAGTATGTACCATATGTTTTTGCATGAAAATTCAATAAAATATGCATTATACATGAAAAGTGCTGTAGTAAATAAAGGAAGGATGGAATCCAGTCCCCTTTGTGAACGACAGGGGCCCCAAATCTTCATAAAAGGTTTAGTCTAGTCTGATGTCTGTGCTTTTCTCCAATTTACTCCGTGTCAGTCTTTAGGAGATGCTCTAATTTAAAACAAAACTCTGCTCTCCTGATGAGGTTATTAGATGTACTTTGGCTGCCCTCTGCTGAGAACACTGAATAATGACGGGGAAAACATCCTTTTTTTTCTGAGGTAGGTAACAGGGAGAAATTATCTATGCGTCTGTGTGCTGGGTTGTGTCTCTGCAACTGGTGATCATCCTGTTTGCTGTCTCTTGCTGCCTGTCAAAGGGTAAAGCCTTCAGCACTACAGTGTAGTTTAGGTCTCAGTGCTGACTGTGTTTTCATGGGTTGGGAAGTTCTGTTGGCCAATGAAAATGTGGGCTCTGGCATTTCCCACCACGCAAAATTTAGCAGTGTTACACAAGGCACGAGCATGAAAAGGAACAGATTTCACACCTGCTCTGTGTCCACTGGCACTTTGGGAAAGGGCAAAGGATTGGCTCCAATATCAACAAGAAAAAACTGATGTGTTGTTTCTTAGGAAGAAAGTGCTTTGCCATACTCCTGGTCTTGGAAGGGAATGAATGTCTAGTGCAGATCTCAGTGCATGAATAAAACAATATGACTGCTGGAGCTATTATTGCTTTCTGCAGTACCCTATTTTAAATACTTTCTAGCAAGTTGATTTATTATTATATCTTCAGCTGGGCTGCACACCAAAGTGTTTTAATGATGAAAGAAATGTTATACACACATTTAATTACTGCCCACATTTTTGTATAATTTTATCGTTTACTCTTTTAGATGAGACTTCGAGTTCTTCTACAGGAAAAATGCCCAATGAAAAATAGATGATTTAAAAGCTAATCTGGGACGAGTTTGGCATGCCACAGTGAGAAAATGTGGTTGTTCATTTCTTCCTGCTTTTTCAGATGGTCACCGATTATCAAAATGTACAGGAGCTGCCCTATCTGGACATGGTGATTGCCGAGACATTGCGCATGTTTCCACCTGCATTCAGGTACCTTTCTTTTTTCCCCACTTCTGATTCTGCAGGGTAGATTCCCAGCTATATAAAATGGAAATCTACTCTTGGAAGACCGATGTGCTCTTGGTCTCTGTGCCAACATCAATACTGCTTGTGCATTTGGAAGATATAATGTGGCCTATTGAAGGAAAACTGGCTCATTCTCGTATTTCTAAAGCAGCTTTTTTTTTTTTTTTTTTTTTTTTTCGAAGAATTGGCCAAGACTGCTCTCTTGCCATTCTTCACATCCCATAAGATTAGAGGATGGAGCTGTTCTGCAGCAGAACTGGCCTGAGAAAGCCAGATGGTGCTGCTTTGGTACGCTTCATGGGCAGGGAGCAAAGAATGACCCTGGATGAGTGACCTTCTAGTCACTAAGTTTTTGGAAGGTTTGCACGTTCAGAAAACTCTGTTTTACATGTGTTTAACTTGTACCCTCCTGTTTTACACAAGCATTGTGCTATAATAACATCACTAAGCAAATGGCTACATCCATTAAATTTTTGAAGTTTCTTCCCAATCTACCCGCAAATAATTTTACTCAGTGAACTGAAAATGAAGGGGGAAATAAATCACAAAATAAATTACAAAACCATTTGATTGTTGAATTTCCAAGTTATCGCAGGCATAAATGTTAAGAGTGGAACATTTCAAAGCAGCCAGCCCGTTGTGCTGCTTATTGTTAAGCTGGGAAGAAATTTCAGATGACTGGAAAAGAGCCAAAGCTGAGCTTACTGTGACAGCCTTTGGAAAACTTGCCCCACAGTTGCAATCACCTTAAAATTAAATAAGCTTAGAATCACATTTCTTTTATACATTCCCAAAGATTACAGTGCAAGGTTTTTCCATGGGCATCTGCAGGATTGCTCAGAGAGTAAATGTCAAGGATACTTGCTCATGGATGAGATAACTGAGCTTTACTGTGTTATACATGGTATACAAGTGGAAACTGTTTCAACAGTTAAAGCATCAGGGATCTTTGAGTTTCAGCTGAACCACAGGGAAACAATCAGTGTTTGTCCAATAGGAAACAAAATGAGAATGGAGCAGAGTTGTTCTGAAGTTTCCGCTGGTGTTGTCACTGGTGTTTATTGATCTGGCTTTTACTCTGATGGATGAGCAGTGGATAGGACAGCCCTGTGCCTTGGAAAGATGTTAGTTGCCTATGACAAGAATAATACAGTATTCAGGAGAATATCGAGTAGCAGCCAAGTATTCTGTAAGATGAGGTCCTTTTAAAAAAAAATCATTTACTAGCTGGAGAACTTTCTTCCACAAAACTCACTTTTCCACTGTCACCAAATTCTTGTGAGGATGAGAGGGATGGCTTGTCAGTGTGTTTCTTAATGTGTCAGTGTTTTGTTCCAGGTTTGGAATCTCTGCTATTTATTTGTCTATGAGGAGAGAAACTGAGTGACAGTGAGGAAAGAATGTGTCTCTGTAATAGCACTTGACTGACAGCTCTGAAACTGAAATCTTCATTCAACTGCTTTGGCTCAGTGTGGGGAGCAGCAGTGGGAGCCCCGGTGCTCCCAACTGGTGTTGGGCTGGAATCTGCAGCGACCCTCCAAGCTCCAAAAGATGCAGATTGGGATCTGCCCTTGCACACTTGCACACCCACCCAGCATTCCTGCAAGGTTTGCAGACCCAAACTCAATGTGGACAGGCTGCTTGTTTCAGCCACGTTGTCACAGTGAGGTTCCTCAGGACAGTTCCACTCCTTGCAGACCACTATGGCTTGGGAGGAAGCTGGAGAGCTGTGCTGCCAGCGTCTGGCCTGTCCTTGATGAGTGCCTGCGAGCTGCAGTTTCTCAAAGGCTTGTGAATTGATTGCATTTCTGTAACAGCAGTAGACCACTTAGTTCTACCATTAAAACCAACTCTTGCTAGTATTCACATGTTGCCCTAAAGTGGGGGCAACTGAATAAATTTAAAAAACCCTCTTTTGATATAACTTTTCCTGAAGGCAGATACTCTTTCTACCTGTTATTAGAAAAGACTGACACACTCCATCTGTAGTTTTCATGAAAAATGAGTCTGAAGCTGACTTTAGCAACACCTTTGCAGTTCAACACCTAAGCACTTCTAAAGATCATAAGCAACCAGAACTGTGAAAAGGGCAAAAGTTAGCCAGCTGGGCTGGGGCTGTGTACTTCTAGGTAGGTGGAGACGATTGTAACATGAGAAGAAACTAGCATCAGCAAAGACTGCTTTATTTATATACTGGGAAAGGGTTGCCTGCTAAATTGCAGGGTCAATAAATGGCTTTTATGGCTCCCTCCTGCTGTGTTTTTGCCTGTATTAATCATCTGGGATACATGACATTGCTGTTGCAGGTTTACTCGGGAAGCAGCTAAGGACTGTGTGGTGCTGGGACAGCGTATTCCTGCTGGTGCTGTTATTGAAACTGCAGTTGGACATCTCCACCACAACCCAGAATTCTGGCCAGAGCCAGAGAAATTCATTCCTGAAAGGTATGTAAGTGTATGCTTAACATTCTTAGGCTGGAGTCCTTATTAGGACAAGTTTAGACCTAAGACCTGCTTTTAATGATGTTAAAATGCATTTAGAGTGGGCACAGGGCTTCAGCCTGTCCAGTGGGACACCAGGTACTGCTTCTTCACAGCTACAGCCCACAATTCACCTGAAACGGTATTTTGTTAAGCATATCACAGTTTAATTTAGATCCTAAAATATATGATTTCTACCAAATTAGACAACTGGTGATAGTGGTGCTTCCTGGAGATGATGCAAAGTCTGGTCAACAGCTGAAACAGGCTTCAGGTTTTCAGGTGTTTCCAAATCAGTTGCTTCAGATACTATCACTTCTGGGCATGGAAATTCTGCAGTAAGGCAGAATTCTGCACTGGCACGGAGCTGCACAGGAGTCTTATGCAGCTCCTGGCTAATTTGGAGCAGTCTTTCCACTGGAGATATTGTAACAGTTTGGGAATGCTGTGAGGGGGAACCTATCCCATCTCCCACTGGGAATTTTCTCTCTGTCCATAAGCTGGGATTCTGGCTTCTCAGCTCTGCTTAGCAAGACGTATTTTCACATGGAACGTTCATTATGTTCAACTACAAGGACTACTGACAAGTTGTCTTCTTGTACCCTGCAGCTGCTGTGCTGAGCTTACAGGGCCCACAGAGCTTTAGCTTTGTGGTGCTGTGCGGAAGCACGGTTTTGTTTTGTGTGCAGCTTTATTTTAAGCTGTTTTGTGGGCAGCTATATTTTAAGCTACTGCGTGTTGAAAAGTCAACTAAGAAAGGAAGTGTATGCTCTGCAAATAATGGTGTGATGAAGGCAGCCCAGAGGCACCTTTACAAGCCAGTCAACACGTGTATTGTAGGTAGGTTTGCCCAATGGATTTCTTTTGGAGCAAATTTTGACATACACTGCACCAAGCACTTGGGGTCATGAAGAAGAGCAAAGTGTGTATTATAGCTCAGAGCTCTTCTTAGGCAGGAATCTTAGCAATAACTGGAAGTCTGGAGTGGGTTTTCTGTTGGTTTATTTTTTTAATGTTTATGTAGAAATGTTGTCACTGTTCATCAACTTAACAGTGATATGAAAGTGCATAATGAGGTAAAATGGTTAGCAAGGACTGAAGACTCCTTGACTCAGTATGCAACAGTCAGCAGTGCTCAATACGTGAGGTATGGTCCTTCCATATCAAATTTGGGGATCTATGTATTTTCTAAGAGAGTATCTCAATCTTATTTAGCGTATCTAAATATGGGGATGGAGTTAGCAGAAATATGCAGTGTTATTTTTTTCCAAACCTCATAATAGCATGTATTATTTTTCATCCCTAAATCCTGCAAGAGTTTGTTGGACCTTAATAGTCTGAAGTTCTTGCAAACTGTATGTAAGTGAGCAAGAGATTCTCAAGGATTCCCCTGTAGATGAAAACCAGAATTTTTATTGTCATACTGTAGTGCAAATGCAGTCAGGGCTTGAAGCAGTGATCAAGCACGTGGTGGGAAGGCAAGGCCAACCCAGGGGAGTTCAGGTGCATCCACCCCTTTCCAGACCTCATTTAAGGACTGGTAGTGGAGGTGAGGGTATCTTGCTGGAGATCCTTGCTTACCTGAGGCCTTCTAAAGGTAAGCACATTCTTTCCTTTATTTCTGTGCCCCTGCTTTTGAGCAAATTTGTGCATTTGAGCAAATTCTCACTTGCTGCAGCCTAGGACTGTGCCACTCTGTTATTGCTGCGCTTTCTATTGTGTTACTGCATGCAGAACTGGAAAAGTAGTTCTGTACTGCCAGGACAGTTCTGAACACTCTGTGACCTGAGGGAACTACATAGATTTCTGAGATAATTCCTCCTCTGTGTCTAATATACAGCCAACTTTGTAGACAAAGTGTTTAGCTTTTGGTTTGTACCACTGTTCATATAGGTGTTTTGTTTCCTTCCGAGGAAAAAAAAGTCTTATTTGTAATGAACTGATTGAGTATTTTTAAGCTAGGTAGTTGATGCATACCTGTGCACAGACTGCCACATTAACATTTACTCTGATAAATAAATTGAAATACTTCCACTCTGAAAACAGAAGGGCCTGAAATGTGAATGTTTCCTAGCTGGGAGACTGCTCTCTTTGGGCTAAGAGCAGAAAGAAGGGCTGCTCTGAGTTACAGCAACCATTTTCCATTGCCTGCCCAGTCCCACTAGATGATTTCATTGTACCTTGCAAGAGAAATTAGGAAGGTTAAAACCAATTCCCGTTGACTTGCTTCTGCAGTGCACAAGGAAGCACTGTTGCTAATTCTAGTTAGTTTATTTTCTGGGCTGTTTCCTCTAAGCTGTAATCTCTCCCTCATGCACATACAAGTCTACATGAGTAGCATGTCATTCTTTTGAACATGGTCACTGACTAAAGCAATTCATTAAAAACAGATTGCAAATCATACATCTGTCTGTCTGCTTCTGTCACTAGCTGGCAAAGGCTGATGTCTGCAAGTCTGCTAACAGTTGACTTACAGGCATAATCTGACAACAGTCCCTTTCATCTGTCCATTAGGTGGAATAGAAATAAAAACTTTTGAAATGCAAATAAAATAATACGAAACTAGGAACAAAAAGCATTTATTGAACTGGTTGCCATCTCTTCACCTTCTAGGTTTACAGAGGAGGCCAAGAAGGAGCGTCATCCCTTTGCATATCTACCCTTTGGAGCAGGGCCCCGTGGCTGTGTTGGTAGGAAGATGGGTTTGCTGGAAACCAAAATGACTCTGCTGAGGATTTTGCAGATGTTTCGATTTAAGACCTGCCCAGAAACTGAGGTTTGTACATGCAGAAGCTTAAAGGCCAGACTTGTCAACCTCAGTGAGTTGACAGTTTTTCCTAGACAGGATGACTTACTTGCCTTTGTGATTTTCTCTTCATTACAGAAAACTGATAGAACCACCTCCATATTAAGTAGAAACAAAAAAAAACCCTGACTGCGTGTTTTAATCAAAATGTGATTTAACCTTTACAATTTTTATAATAAAAGTTACACACCCTTGCCTTGATGGAGAGCAGTGTATCACCACTGCAGTCAAAAAACATTGATTTATATGGAGAGAATGGGTGTATCTCTTTCTTCTTAGGATCTCAGCTCTTTAGTGTATGCCTGTTGCAGTATATATTGCACCTGTCACTTACTCAGCAGCTCTAGAGTTTACAGAGTTAATTTCTTTCTGTTCAGATCTACAATATACCTGGGCAATGACTGCCTCAGCCTCTGGCTATAAATTCTATTTAATATACTACCACAGCTGACTGTAAAATAAGCACTTTACTGCTTCTACTGTAATCCTGGTATGAATTGATTCCTGAGCAAAAATGTCTGTTGGTATGTGGGACGGTTATGTATACATAAACGAGCACATGCAGTCATTCTTAAGTTGTTCTTCTGTCTTTCAGATTCCTTTGCAGCTGAAATCAAAAGCCACACTTGGACCGAAAAATGGAGTCTACATTATCCTAGAATCTCGCTAAAACAGAATGTACATCCTGTAACCTGCTAGAATGGGACCTCTTGTTTAATGACTCACTGATTATTATTGTTTTTCAAATATCCAAAGACAGGTAGGAACCTGAGTCCCACTAAAGGTCAGCAGATGCTGCCTAACTGCCCCCCGGTGGGAGAGTTTCAAGTCACTTTTTAAAATGAGATGTGGGCTTCACAGTCACTTGATGATTTTGAAATTGCTGTGAATAATATCTGAAAAGCATGTGACTTTCACTGGCTTTTCTACATTACATTTCCTTTTACTCATCTATAAGAAGGCTTCCTCCACGCTCTAGTTCAATGGAAGGAGCAGGTGTTAAGTGTACACTAGATTTACGATAGGTTTTAATTACCATTCATTAGCTAATACATTCTGCTGATGCACTTATAAAGCCCTGCTTTAGAAAAGCCCAAGAGACTCCACAGTTATAGCAGAAGAGTTGGAATCCCATGCATTGGATTTTATTCTGAACTCTACTAAAAATCAAAGCTGAGTCTCCTGCACACTACTTAACCTCTCCTTGTTCCTGTAAAGTAGAAAGGCAGCATCTTCATGCTTTTGAAGTGTTTTGAAATACACTTAAATTAACAGTTTGCACTTGGCTCATTGCATCAACATGCCTGAAGAGGAATGAAGAGTTCCCCCAGTTGCCTGTTAGATTCCAGTAACTAAGACCAAAGAAGTGGGGTGATAACTATTTTGTTAGTTAAGAACTGCTCTTGGAAAGGTTGACAAAAATAAGACATAAATTTAAAGGAAGCAAGAGGATTGGAGAAGCTTTCAGGATAATCAGAAGACGTTGGCATAATATCTGCTTCACTGTTCTGAGGCCTATACTTCCCAAGCATTGCAGTTAACATCTTTATCTCATTGGGTTCTGCATGCACGAAAGCCAATGGCCAGGGAGTGGGATCCAGGATCATCAGTCCCAGGAGTCCCAGGAGTTCTTTTGGCTCCTTATGTGACCCTGCAAAAAGTTACGTTCCAAGTGCCCTGTGATGTTCTGTGCTAGAGGTTTCCTTAAGTACAGCATTTCGCTTGGTGGGATGCACAGAGAAGTGTCGTGGCAGCAGTGGGAAGAGACTGACTGCTCAGCTTCCCTGCAGGGATTGCTGGAAGGAGCCATCTGTTCACTGATCCTTAGCTGCAGTTTCTCTCCAGCAAGCACCTTTTGCTGCCTTCTTCCCACATGCTTCACTTCACACTGATCAAATTGCTCTGTCTCATTCCTGAAAGATTTTGTCTGTTTTTTTTTTTTTTGTTTTTTTGTTTTTTTGTTTTTTTAAATGGGATTTCTTTTTTTAATCAGATCTGTACAGGTAACATTGAAGTATTGTCCTGGCAATCATGGAATTGTTCCTATTTATGTGGAGCATCTCTGGCAGGCTAACCAGAAATGTCCTATTACAGATATTGAATTACTGATGGAGTGACTATTATTTGAAAAGCAACAGAGTGTATATGCCTTAATTTCCACAAGTTATCCATCACCTTTTCCTCTTGAAAGCAGTGTATTGACAGCTGATTTACTGTGCAGCTTACAGGTACAAATGGCAAAAAAGTTGGACAGTCCTTGCCTAAAAACTTCCCACCTACCCCAAATGAGCAGAAGGCTCATTTCACAGTCTGAAGAAGTCGGCCATGAAGGACTTGTTTGGCTCCTCAATATTTTTTTTTTAATTCTATTTCTTCCTTATGTAAATCAGCAGGTCTTTGTGTGCTTTGTTTTTGAATACTTACTCCAGTGTAAATGAAAACTGTGTCTCGCTTCAGCGTGCTTTTGTATGACCTGTTGTGATCTGAACACTGCTTATCTAACCTGCTTATCGGAATCCTGTTTGTATCCTTGGTATTTATCTGAGAGCTCTACTCACGTGTAAGGCAGCTGAGCAGCTCACATTGCTGTAGCTAAACAGGACATTGTCATTGTGAAGGCCATGTTAACTCTGCTGGGAGAAAAACAGTACTGCAGTGGATGCAACTGTGCATCACATTTTACAGGCTTGGAAATTGCACTGAGAGTCTTTCCCTGCTGCTTCTAAATTTAACAGACAGTACACAAGCAACTAAACTCAGCTGAGCTGATACAGCCACCAGACACTGTACAGCCTTCCTCTGTACCAGGATGCTTAATGATGCTGTTCCTGTCCCGGGCTCAGCAACGTGCTGCCAGAAGAGCAGTGCTGCTCTGGAGTACTGGCAAAAAATGAGACATGATACTGCCAGCAGCTCCCAGAAAGAGAAACAGGTAACAGCACAGTAACTGCAGGAATAAGGAAGCTGATGTAAGATAACTTTCTCTCCTCAGTACCTGTTAGTCTGTTGTCTTGTACTGCTGAGCTGTGGGTATGTTTATGTTTAAGGCCTGCTTCACAAGAAGCTCTTTGTCACTCTTAGAGAGGTGATATGAAGGAAAGGCTGCTTAGTGAAGGGAAGCATCTATTAAAAACATCTTCTGAGACTTTGCAACGATTGCTGCAATTAGTCAGTATAAAATAGTATTTATAATGACTGCTGCAATGATAGAAAACCTTCAGTTTGTACTTTTGTTAGATTTTATACTTCAGTATACTTGGAGTCAGGCATTAGAAATGATTATGCTGGGCCAATTGCAAATGTGAACGCTTTACTTTATTTGGCATTAAACAACAGAATTTTCTCCATATGGGATACTTTCTTAAATGATCGACTGCTCATTTCCCTTTGTTAAATGATAATTCCATCTTGGATGCTACTTCACTTTCTCCTGTGCATTTACAATATGCTGAAAGCATCCACAGTTGACTCTGGAGCTGTTGATTTCGCTGCTCTGTTCCCACTGGCTGTGCGCTCCAGACAGTGATCGGATGCTAAGATATTTGCTCCTTGAACTCCTGGGTGCAAGGCAGGATGCAGGATTCCCTCCACTGCTAGGATTTTGGGAGCAGTGACTCACAGACTAGATGAGAAATGCAAGGGTGCTAGTCAGGAGCCAGCTGGATGTGGCCTGCAAAGCCTACACTTGACTCCAGGTGAGCTCTGTAAGTGATGAGATGGGTTGGCCCTGGGAGGCTCCAGACCTCTGTCCTGCCTGGGGCAGAGGCACAGCCCAAACTCTGTGTACTTTCTGCTGACTTGCCCTCTGTCTTGATGGAACGGACATGCTACCAGGATAAGGAAACAATCTTCACAGCTTGTCCTTCTCCTCATGCGGTATGGGAGTGAGCAAGAGGTGGAGAAAGTGAAAGATGATGGCATTTTTCATCTTCAGTTTCTTTTGTCTTAAGTAGTAAAGAGAGATCCTTATCATTCATTCAGAAAAGAGGGTCAATATCAATCTTTATATAAAGTTTGGATTTAGGGCAAATGACTCTGTTTCTAAATGCAATCCTAAAAGCTGTAAGGGATTCCACTGTTTAGCAACAGCATCTTTAAGGAAGTTTCCAAGAAATCAGAAAGGTCACCCAATGTGGTGCACTCAGAGAGTGGGGAAAAAAGAAAAAACACAGTACAAGAAATTCAGCAGTCAAGTACCTTTTAATTGATGATACATGGGAAACTTTCCACTAAAGTTTGAAGAGTGGAAAACATGGTAATTTTTTTCTATTGGATGTTACTGGAGAAATAACAAGTAGAAAAGTAATAAACCCAGCCACACACACACACACACTAATAAAAGTTTTAAAAATATTGTTTGTATCTGAATTAGCCATCAAAATTGTTATTAAAAATATCTCAACTTTTTGCATGTTTCCAGGCAAAAGGGTAAAACACAGTTTTTCAGTCGGATCAAGCATAGAACAATGGCTCCGGTTATGTTCACAGCAAGGAAGGCACACCATCAGCCTCCTTATTTGCCACGAACATACAGATAACATGTTTTGGCAGAAGTCTTACTTTGCACAAGTAGTTCAAGCTTTCATACATCACATTGCCCTTAATGAATGCATTACTTGCTGAGGTGAGATTTAACATATGTTTTACTACAAATCTTTCAAGAGAAAGAATACAGCCAATATGCTTTTCCACATACTTCCTGGATTTAATCGTATGGTTGAAGGTATTTTCATTTGGGTATTTTGCTGCTTGCTTTATGGTTTATATAAAAGAGCTTCCGCACAGGCTTGTTTGGCTAACCGTGCCTCAGCTCCTAGCTCACAGTGCAGGTAGTACAAAGTAGCCCAACACCCACCTGTCAGTCAGGATTCAGATGACCTGGAAAGAAGTGCTTCTAGAGTAGAGGTAGAGAGAAGGTTTTTATGTCATATGCAAACATGTCTTGAAGTTTTTATAATCTGTAGTCAGCATGTACTCTTTCAGAAGCATTAACATAGCAATAAATGCAGGATGCCAAGTATCATCAGCTTTCACCCTAAGAAATGCCCAGTAGTTCAAGATTCTTGTTTATCTGCATGTACTGACTGCTCGGTGTTAATAACATATAACACCTTTTGCTGAGAGCAGTTAAATATTCACCTTAGTCTTGAGATTTTTAACAGCTTCAGTGCTGCACCTGAAGACTACTCACAGTTTTATGCTTTTCTCCAGCAAGAAAGCCCAGAGACCTTGGTTACATAGGTAACTAATACGTCTCCTGCAACTAAATACATCTAAGGCAAGCAAGAGATATTCGTTCACAACAGTTACAACAGAATCACAAGGATACTTCAAAGAAAGAGCGTGCTGTTAAATAAGCAGCACAAGCATTGCATTTCTCTCCCAAGCATAATATTCTAGAATGAGGTGAGTCGCTTTCTCATCTCCTCACTGTGTATGCCAGCACTCTTGTTTGTAGGCACAGCAAAAGTCATTAAAAATTTGTGCTCTCACCAACTTAAAGTACAGTAGTTATTGGTAAAAAGTCAGTGGTTTAAGTACCACACCTCAAAGCAACCCTTGTTCTGGTTCATTACTTTGTTACTTCTTTTAAATGAGAAAATCAGCAAGTGAGAGTAAGTCCCTGCTCCTTCTCAACAAAGGTTTAATTTTTGCAGCTACCTCAGTGAAGATTAAGTAGGGTCAGAAAAACAGTGCTGCTAATAATTTAGGCAATGACTTGAGTACAAGGGACAGATTGTACAGTCTCATTTGCAAACACTTCAACGTCTACTGTTGTAGAATACTATTAAAAAAAAAAGCAGATTTTATCAAATTCTGAGTCAAAAAATGAAAAGGTAGAAAGGGGGCAGATTCTAAACAGTGAACACTGGTAAGGATCTATCCTGAAACAGCTGTAATAGAATATTATTTAAACTTGGCAGTTACAGCCAATCTTCATTTTACAAGCATCAGTGAATCCATCCAGTAAACACACAGAAACCTCAGAACACTGCAGTACAGGAAAAGCTGACACCTGCTAAAACAATAGGAGACAGAGGATTTTAATTCTAAAATATCCTTTGTGTCTTTTTACTCCTTGACTTCCACAGCACAGAAAGTATAGAATAAATGTCTGAATGCTCATCTACCCAACTATATGACTTCCAGAAATCACTTTCCTCAGTTACGTCATGACAAATATAATGTTTATTTGAGCTACACATAATGATGACCTGTTTTGCTGCTACAGCATTCTTGCACATGCCTGGTCCAAGTATTCAATGAGATACTCTGGATAAACCTGCTGCTTCTCAAAGATGACAAAGATAGAAGGGTTTGAAGAGCTATTCACACAGCTGTCATAGAAGTTCTGGTTGTCCTTCAGGGGAGGACGAACATAACTCGACCTACCAACAGTGAACTCTCCCACCAACACTCGTGCCAGAAACATGGTCTTGCTGCACGAACCTTCCTTGCAGTAGGCGTCAGAATACGATGCATCCCTTGCAAAATAGCTTCCTGCAGAAAAGACATCAAGACAGAGTTGATAAGACACTAAATTTACAGAGATGGAAAGAATACGGTGTAAAAGCAAATGCACAACAAAAAGCCATGAAGCAGTTCCCAGATTAGCTTTCACTACCTATCATTCTTAGTGAAAATGACCACTATGTATTACCTACCCTTTTATTTTTGATAGTATACGTGTTAAAACCCAAACAGGTGATGTTCTAAATATTACTGCTTTTGTGAAAGGCTTCCCTTCTGACTTCAGACTTCCACACTCCCCCACTCACACAGGTTCTTCTCCTGACACAGGCTACTAATACTCATTGAAACAACTTTTGAGAGTATTTTGAGAGTACTTTCTGAGTATTTAGCTGGGTGAGTGGACAGTCAGCCTCTCTCTTGACTTGTTCTCTTGATTTGTTGATTCTTTCATGTATACAGAATGATGAGTATAATTTCCTAGGAAGGCAATAAGCCTGTAACCAGGATGGTGTTTATGTTCCTGGCAAAACAAACAAAAAAAACAATCATGTAGTTCCATGCTGCCTACTATAGGAGCTGGAAGAAATTGGAATAGAAGTAGGTGTGGACCATAACAAAATGGAGCACAAAGGCCAAGGCCTTCCATTATGCCTTAGCTCCAAACGATCATTGTGAAAATCAGCAGTATTGTCCACAACTAGCCCCAGATTGGCCAAGCATCCCCTTTCTAGTTTTACACATCTGCAGTGACTAATGCATATTTTTCAGCAAGCCTAAAGTTAATGGAAGAGCTGAAAAACAACCTTTGCCATAGACTGTTCCATTGAGGCCACAGATCCTCCAGTCAAAGTTTTGATGACAGATGGCATCAATGTGTTTTTTACTGGTTCCATGAAATAAGAAACGTTCGTCTGTCTTTCCACCATTGCTCTTTTCCATTTGTTCCTTCTGCCTATAATGAGAAGTAGCATCATTGTAGTTTCACAGTGGCTAGATAAGTTCCAGCTGTACTAGCACTCAAAGACAAACTGAAAATCTTTACATTAAGACCTAAGCTTTGAGCAAACAAGATAGTGTTTTCTAGCTGGGTACAAACATGCTTTCATTGTATACAAATGACTCCAGATATTTAATAACTGAAAATGTTTTGTTCCATTCACTATTTGGTGGGTGTGGAAGAACTGCCATCAGTTTTTTGCTAAACATGAGAATTCATGGTAAGGCTTTCCTTCAGTGAGTCTTTCTTTCAATTTTGAAAGCTGTTTCAGTTTTGACCAGCTACAAACCAGTATTTCAGGCAGATGGGGCTGACGTCCAGCTTCAAGACTTCAGTGGAAAGCAGCTGCCCTAGACTTAAGCCTGGCAGACATCAGAACCATTCGCTCCCACAAAGCTCATCTGAATATTCTGAGCTCTAATTCTTGACTGAGTTCTGGTTTTGCTGGTACCTCTTTATTGACACTGTTGATTCTGAATAGATATTTCCATGGGGAAGTGGAAACAGATTCTGAAATGCAGCTGTATTTTAGGAATGCATAGCTATCCATAGCATACAGCTAACTACAGAGACAACAAACTTCATTCATGCACACCACACCAGTATTTTACACGTACCATTGATACAGTTCCCAGAGAGATGGGTTCTGAATTCTACAAATCTTTTTAATCTGTGTTCTTGGCATTGTGCGTTGAAAGTCCCCCTTGACTTTGTTGTATTCTTCAGAAGAACTGTCAAGATCAATCAGCTGTATGGGAAGAGATTGAAACACTGCTCTCATCTTTTACTAAATCATAACAAAGCCACTCTAAATAGAGTTAGACTGCTCAAACCTTTAAAGTCTTTCTGTGAAAGAGAGAAATGAACGGCAAAAATGCTC